TGGCGCCTTGTAGAGCCTCCTCATGAGGATCCATATTGAGTACGGCGTTGTTGAGTTATCGCGTGTTGAGCGGAGGGCGCGCCTTCGCGCACGGTGGCCGCAAACTAGGGGTGGCCGCAAACTAGGGGTGGCCGCAAACTAGGGCGCCTAGCTTATCGCTGTCATCTTGTAAAATAGAGCTGACTTTCGCCTGTCAGTCGTGCTGATATGTCAGGTGGGGCACATCCCTCTACGCGACCTCGTCAGCTTGTTCGTACCACGCTCATCACAGCATTCTCGCACGACTCTCACGACAAAGATGACTTTCTGTGATGCATGCCAGTCCCTGCCAATTCGCAATATCTTGAAACTTGTTCAGGGCGACACATCCGTAGACGATGAGTTTCAGTGGTTCAAACTACCGGAGACTGCAGATGTGACCCACGAAGAAGACGAGCATCCATTCCTCAGATGGCATGACAGCCTTGCTGGGTTACAAAGTTCTGCTAGCAAATGCGCGCTCTGCCAAGTCATCTTCAGCCATCTGAGCAGCAGCCACTATTACCGTACCAACTACAAGGACGGTGACATGAGAGGCCTATGGCTGAAGGCTCCAGAAATCCCGCACAAATCTATCCTGGTTGTGTATCTGGGCGACACGAAGCCACAAGTGCGTCTAAGTGGGACCTTCTGGTATTACACAACTCCAGGTACGTTGGTATGATCTATCTACGTGAGCTGCAGTTGACATGTGATATGTAGATAGCTCCGTAGCAGAGTTCTTTGACAAATACGAGATCATCGAGGACTCATTGCATCCCTGGGTACTTGGAAAAACTGCAACATGGGTCAAAAATTGCAACGACCACCACTTGAACTGCCAACGGTTAGTAAAAAGCGATGCTCAATTACCCACACGGCTCTTGGACCTTCATTCACTACCAGAAGGAACTGACTTCGAGGGTATCACGGATGATCCACGTGCCCTGCTCACGGATACAACACTCAAGCTTGTGGAACCCGGTTCAGATAGTAAGGGCCTGTACATCGCATTGAGCTATTGCTGGGGTAAAACGCTGCCATACACTACGACCTCTACGAACCTGGAAAAGCATAAAGAAGATAGAGGGATCAGATACATCCAACTTCCTCAAACTCTTCGAGACGCAATATTTCTCACCAGATATCTAAGCATTCGCTACTTGTGGATAGATTGTCTGTGCATCATTCAAGACGATAGAGCTGACTGGGAGAGAGAGGCTTCTCGAATGGCTGATGTATACAGTAATTCGTACTTAACTCTTGCTGCTACGCGTGCGAGTCACTGTGGTGAAGGCTTTTTGCATGCGCGCAAGGTCAGACAACGTCCTGTCGTCTCGTTCGCAGATGCGGAAGGGTCTTTTGACTTGTATTTCCAATATCACGACGGGACCTTTTCACCGGACCCTATGAAGGCGTTATTGGAAGATGTCATCACTACGCGGAAGGTACATTGAAGCCCTTGAGCCGCTCACACTGACTCCGGAAGCTGACACAAGGTAGGAAGAGCCTCTTCTGAGCCGAGTCTGGGCCATACAAGAACGTAAACTAGCGCCCCGCACGATAAGATTTGGTGCCTACAAGATGCGCTGGGATTGCTCGAAGCTATTGAACACCGAAGACGGATTCCTGAACTGGTTCGAACGCTCAGACCGTGGACACAGTTTTCTGGAAAGAATCGCCCACGGGCTCGAGGACGTGGACAACCCAGGACGGATTAGTTGGACCGGGAAAAGACATGGATACGGAGAAGCCTGCACTTACAACACAGGATGGATAGAATGGTTTGCCTTGATTGAAGATTACACATCCTGCAACATTACCTTCCAATCTGATAAGCTTCCAGCACTGTCCGGTATGATCTCGGCGCTACAAAAGCTCACGGGAGATGTCTGCCTTGCTGGCTTGTGGAAAAGCTGGTTCTTGCAAGGTCTGCTATGGCGCTTGCAACGGCCTGCCTGGGACAAACGTATTATATTCCCAAAGAAGCCGCAGAGAGCTATACCCTGGAGAGCTCCAACCTGGTCGTTCGCATCAGTGGAGGGAGTGGTGCTATACAGACTTCTCGAGAACGATCCCTGCATGCCAGTGTGTGCAGAACTGCTAGACTGCGATGTCACGCCCAAGGGCGTCAACCCACTTGGGGAAATAACGAAAGGATTTGCGAAGATCAGAGCACCGGTGAGTGCCCTGTTCGATATAGCGTCGCAGGAATCGAGTAATGGAAGAGAGTGTAAGGTTCGGTTGACGAATGAGAGGCTCGCGGAAGGGCGTGTGTACTTTGATATTGACGTGTACAAGTGTTGTGGAGTGGTCATGATCACTTCAGATATTGGCATTGCGATCATACCGGTGAACATCGCTGAATCGACCTACATAAGAGTGGGAGCGCTTTTGGTGCACAGAGTCATCAAATCGAAGAGTAAGGATTGTGGGCGCGAAGGTCTGGCTCCGTTCCACCATGATGAGTTGCTGACCGCGTCTCACTACCCAAATCCAACAATCATCACTCTGCTGTAGGTAGTTGTAGAAGGCAGACGTAGATTTTTCAGACGGCGTAGTGCAGTTAACGCTAGACCTGTTGCGCTGATGACGACAGTATTTCGCAGACATATGCGGTACTCTATCAAAGTGTCCATCATGCTCTTTCGTGAGACTTCAAGATCTCGAAAAATGGCTTCAAATCCATGGGGCAGACCAGGGTATACATCCAACTTTGTCTTCACACCGTGCGCACGCAGCGCCTTTTCGTAAATTAACCCATCATCACGAAGGGGGTCCTTGCCTGCAACTTGTATGTAAACTGGCGGCATCCCCTTATGCGGGTTATCGGCCTGGAAAGGAGAAAAATCTGGCGAGAACCTGTCATGGTGCCACACTTTGGTGATGTACTCCAGGGCGTCCTGGTTGAAGATCAAGGATCTGGCATTCTGATCTCTAGCGAGGTAGAGGCTTTGGTACTGCTCAGGGACAATCTCTTTCTCCAAGACGCACGAGACGCTCACCCATGCTCCCGTAAGTGGAGGCTGACACCCCTCAGAAATCCATCGCTGTGCCATGATGGCAGTAAGAGTACCGCCGGCAGAGACACCACCGATGTAGAAGCCTAGAGAGAGAGATCGCACTCAAGCTCCTTGGCATGGATGTCTTGACTCAACCACTTGAGAGAATCCCACATGTCCTGCGGCGCAGCAGGAAATCTGTGCTCGGGAGCAAGACGGTAGGACGGGCAGACGACGGTGAGGTTATATAGAGTTGCAATAGGCCGTGCTAGATAACCAAGGGAGAAGTTTTTCCCCAGGCAGAAACCGCCACCGTGAATGAGGACAAACATTCCTCGAGGAGTTGAAGATCGTCCGACAGGCAGATAAATACGTAGCTCGCTCTGGTACCCATCGCGCATTGGGATCGATTTGGGATATTCGATGTCTGTGGTCGGCGGGGTGGGAGGCGGGTTGAGCTTGAACTCTGCGACCGCGTCAGAGAACCGAGGGCTGGGAAGACAGTCAACCTTGGCTAGAAACTTTCCCTAGGTTAGCTAGCAACTGAGGAAGGTAGTCGGATAACCACTTTACCTCTTCAAATTTTGGGCTGATCACATTGCGGCACCTGGCCAGAACAATCATTCTACTTAATCTGTATCGATTAAGGGGATCTTACTGTGTGTTGCCAAGCGCCAGAACAGCTTGACTGGTGTTATATCCTGACATGATGCAGGTGATAGGAAGACAGACTTGATTTGTGAGTCTGGGTACTGTTCTTCAGTAGTAGCTTACTTTTGTGATAACCTAGAAAACTTACCCACGGATGCGAAAGGTATCTCAAGGCGTTGTATCTTCTTTTTGAAGACTCTAAAGAACCACGTCGGGCTTATGTCAAAGTCCACGCGAAACGTGGAAGCCGCAGTTCCGGATTTTCCAAGCTCCTAGTGTCGTGACTACATAGCTTGCCGATGGACGCGTTCGTTTAGGCGGCGCTATGATAGGCCAGCTGCACCGAAGGCCAAGAGTATGGAGACACAAAGGGCATCCGTCCGACAGTTGCAATTAGTGGTCTTGTTGACAACGTTCACTTACGTGCTCGTGTTGAATGCCTGATAAGTGGAGGTGGGTCAACACAACGTCATACTCGTGGCGCTGTGATTTGTCGTGAGCCGATCGCATCTTGCTCTCGCCGTCAGCTGCACAGGAAACATTTAATGCGAAATTTTAAATCGACCCAGCGTGTACGACAGCGATTCTGGTGGTGACAATCTTCGTGAAATCAGTTCGGGTTCATGGGACACGAAGATCGAAAGCCGCCGCGACAAGAATCATAGGATGCACAAGTAGAACAGTCTATTGTACTTTTGTAACTGTAGCTCTATAGCGTTGCATGGTAGTAGTGTAATTAGCACTAGTCGTATTAGTATATGACAGATAGATCGAGTTCTAGGATACGAACACATTTGATGAACTAATCACATAGCTGTCAGTCGTTCGTTTCTTTCGATAGCTGCACTTGAGACTTACACCGCCGCTGCAACTGTCCTGGACATAAAGTCCATTCCTTATAGGCTGTGCGCAAGTTCTTTCCCGAGGAAATCTAGCATCGTCACCGTCTCCGCACTGTCTGGGTGTTACGACTTGAATCTTTTTCTTTTTGATAACCTATAAACCTACGCAGAAGGAGTGGGGCTACGAACAGTCAGTAGGACGCTTTCCTGCTAGTCATCATATTACTTACATAGGAGTCGGGACATCCAGTGTTTGCGGGCAAACCCCATCCATCATTACACCAGGAAGCCTGGGCAGAGACGGCAAAGGCCAGGAGGATTGAAGTAACGAGTTTCATGGCTAGTTAGTGAAGACGCTGCGGTTTGTACTTGGGTCTTCAATGGTATATTGTCGAGGTACCTACACTACGATGAGACCAACGCATATATATACCTAATGCTCGACGATGCGCACGGGCAGTGTCTTCTTCACCAGTATGAAGCGGTCACTTGCTAGCGACTCTGGCCAACAGGGATATATATTGCATACTAATCGAAGTCAAAGGTGCAACGTACGTAGATTTACCTTGTTGGAAGAGTCGAACAGCGGTGAGCTCTTGCGGCGTCGCAATGTATGCGCTACAGACATGATCTTAGATTATCCCCTTGCGGAGTCGGAGTAGCCTCAAAGCCGCTCTAGCCGATTGTTACTGGATCCTCACGTGGTAGTGGCCTATACATATGTTCCTGACAAGATCCTCTCTATCATACGTGTAAACAACAGTGTTGCGACGATGTTCGTGACTCGGTTTGGATTTCTAAAACACAGAGGGAGCTGGCCGCCGCGATAGTCACTATAGGATGCACAAGGTCTCGAGCATCAGTAAAATCGAGTGGGCAACTAAGTGCATGACTAAGGGCTCATTTCGGGAAATGCGCGGCAGGTACCGCCGAACCTCCCCCGTGCGCGCGAGCCTCATACAGCAATTATAATCGAGCACGCGCTCGGGAGCTCGACAGGACTTTCAGAAATAGTGAGGGTACGGGTATGGATGAGACGGAGTGTTGCTCGAGCTTGAGGCGACGGCGGGCGGCTCGATACGGAGTGGTTTAATATCGACGCGAGAGAGCAGAGATCCAGCGATGGACTGGTTCGCGGGCGAGTTCAGGCTGGTCTTGGAGGCGAGCGAGGTCATATCACATTGTTTGGCGGGCGTGCTCTCATCGTCTGCGGGCGAGGCGTCGTCATCTTCCTGGAAAGGGACTACGATGTTCCCAAGACATATTTCAAGGACAATGGCATGCGCAACATGGGCAGGCAGTGTGTCTCGATCGGAGATAGTAAGATTGCATGGCGCCGCAGAACCCGAAAGTGCGTCCAATCTCCTGCGGTCCGAAGTGCGATGGTGGGTTGTCGGTTTGTTCGGTGTAGCCAGACAACTCCAAGACGGAGGTCGGCGTTTTGAGTCTTGGCGACAAGCATCAAAGTTCGTGGGGCAGTAATGGGACGTACCTCTATAAACAGGCATTGCGACACGTCTATCACTACGGAAGAACTCTGTCGGTACAACGGTCGTAAGCTGCTGGATTTCACAGACATGGTGACCGCGACTACGCGCAGGCATTTGTCAGCATGCCAATCACAACTAAAGCACAAGCACCGCACGATCGAACCTGAACGAATTCAAACGACACTGCAACCGCGAATATTGAACAGCCACACGCACTTGCTTGTTCGTGCATGGCGATAGACGCAGTGTAGTATAGAGGTGGGTTCAACCATCTGGCCATTGTTGGTGTGAGTCGCGGCTATCGGGTCAGCTTGCAAAGCTACATAGTGTGGTTCATTCTAAGAGCATCGCGCAGATGATTACCCAGACTGCGTTTTGCTCTTCGGACACGGAGTGCGCCGCGTTCCCTTCCAATTTCTTATTCATTGATCATGACTTACTACGCATCTTCCAGTCATCGGTCCACGACGGTTCACATAGACTGTATCGCGCGCATGGCGAATACATGCCCTCAACAACACCATAGTGTAATATCATTCACAAGTTCATATCGAATGTAGCAAGCAGATGCATTGTCATCCGTCTTCTGTACCTTCTATCATCAGCCTCACAGTGCGTTGCTACAAGTCCGAGTAAGTTTATGGAATAGTCTATGAGATTAGTAGGCTTTTGTTAAAAGGCAAGTCCATCGCTCGCTAACGTTCTGACCTATACCTTAAACCGTTCCATCGAAACGGTTGCGAAACGCCTGGAGATTTTTCTAGATCAGCGTTTCCCTTGTCCTCATGCCTCTTGTTCTCGAACCACACCCGAGCTTTTGCAAACACTGTCTTATCAGATGATATCAGATGCCAAATGAGAAAGACCAGTATGATGGTAGGTAACGAAAAAACCCAAAAGATTCCAAAGCTTGGTTGCACAACTTTGGGGCCGTTCCAATTTAGTAGGGGCATAGCGAAGAGAGTGGCGAAGAAGGTAGGTGGCAGGAAGACCACGGTCATGATAGCAATGGTCTTCATCGAATAACTATCCCGCTGTGTTGCTAACGCGATTTCCTTGCTACTTTTCGCGTCGTGGCGAGTGAGCAGATTGAAGATCTGGCGCTGACAATTAGTTGTCTATGCGATGGTAGAAAACCGCTGATGCAACGTACTACAGATTGCTGCATACGGCCACGCTCTTGAAGATAGCTTGTCTGCAGCTCGCCTGATTGTATCTGGCCTTCCAACAGCGCTACTGCGTCCGTAATAGCAGACAAGATAGATGTCGACGTAGCCGCACTCGGGGTTTGGGCAGGCGACGGTTGGTGGATCAGACACGGTCGATATACTACGAGGTCACTGAGGATCATTCTTACGATGCAAGCATGTCTGATGACATTGGCTAGCGCGGTAAGTACGAGACCCAGCCTTTTGGACTCATATACGAGCTGATCTGTACTTGGAGCAGCATCAGATTGAGCTACATGCCATGCGCCATGCCCCGTGAATATTTCTATGTCTCGAATGCGGCCCAGATTCTCTCCTGCAGTGCCCTCAATCCAACGGACCAATTCAATACCACATAGAAACGAACAGAAGCGCCAGTCGTTTATCAGATCTTTGTGGTGCACCAATGTCGACAGGAAGCTTCTGAAGATTTGTTGTGGGTACTGAGAGTGCTCTCGTGGTGTGAACAGGACCTTGGTTGTAACTGTATCAGAGTTGTAGGTCCACAACAGTGTATATGACACAGTATGCAAGTAGCACCTATACAAAGTGCTACCCGGTTGGTATTGTGAGAAGAATCCATACGTCGACGAAAGGATCAAATTCAGCCAATATGGATCGAACCCGAGATCGTCGAACAAGTTCACAAAGACAGGTCGTTCGATGCTAAGGATTCCTTCGCTATTACGCCTGAACTTGACGATGCTCATTGTAGCCGTTGCTTTCTCATTGCCATTGTCAAAGACAGGTGCGTTAATCAGATCACAGATGTCCAGGTGACTAGGCCATTGGACTGAAGTGTGCCGAACGGTCGTCTCCGAATTCAGGAATTTGGCAATGGTAACAAGACTTATGGCGGTCCGTTGCAGATTTTCACGCTGCGTGAACTGCTGTTCTGCCTCGAATCGTTGTCGCGCTTCTGCTCGCAAGCCGTTCATTGTGGACAAAATATGTTCTATGGTATGGAAAGGTGTGAAGAGAGAGAGAGAGAGAGAGAGAGAGAGGGAGAGGGGGGGGGGAGCTGTCAACGAAGAGAAACGAGAAGATACACTGCTTGAGTATTGGTGGCTTATGGTCAGCACGGCTGTATATGCATCTGTTGGGGTAACGTCCAGCTGAGGCGCTGCTGTGCCTATGAATTCAACCAACCATACTCATCCTCTCATGCAAGGTGTCGACGGCTTCCATATCAGTAGGCTCTTTCGTATAATGTCATGCAGACTCAGCCTACTTGCACTCAATATACTGGTCTTCGTTTTGACAGCTGATCAGCGCTGCGCCCTCATCGTCGCACCATACCTAGGTATGCCAAAGACATATGATGGATGTAGAAGGCCTACAAGCGTCAAAGACTGTAAACTCCTTTCATGTAGTTCAATTAGACATAGTGGTGCATCCGATCCGACTGTATTCTTACTGCTTTTAGGGCTTCCGACCTGACAGGCGACCCTGACTGGAGTTTTGTGGAAAAGCACATGCACGTGGGAGTCTAGGCCTTCTTTCCGTGGGCGTGACACTTGCTTTGTCCAGCACAGCCCGGATATCCTTGGTTACGTCATACCATTGCATGCGACGTCTCTCTACAGCGCCCACAAATCTGTTCCCAGGTACGTGGGAAATTTACGTCTTGTTTGTGCGGGTCACTCACTAGCGCAGCTCGCGCGTAGTGTACACCCGTCCACGTGCTCGCGCGTCAGGCCGTGAGCTGGAAGCCTGCCAGGGTCATGTTCATACCATCAACAAATGCTGGAAGCGCGCGCTCGATGTCGATGTACCAGGTTCGAATAAGCACCGACGCCCGCACCTACAACGTCTTCTTACCCTGATCCAGCGTGCGCGTCGCAAGGCAGACAACTTCGTTACCCCGCTCTCGACTCTCGACTCGACCCTCAGGCAATCGCGGCCGCTGAACAGCAAATCGTACGCACACACACACACACACACACACACACACACACACACACACACACAATTCCCGTAATCAGCGACGAAGACGGAAGCCTTTACCTATCATGGCGCATGCGCGGCTTCTGAAACGATCTCGACGACGGCCATTGAGACGGTGAAGACAACGTCCTCCCCTTAGGGGGCGACACAAGCGACGACGAGAACCCCGGCCCAGAGCCATAACCACAGCGCCGCGATACTCTGTACAAGCGGCGCACAAACGTCTTCCCGGTCTCTGGCGGTTTCCTCATTAGCGACCCATTTGGCATCGAAAGACACGGCGCCCACAGCCGCCTCCACACTGCCCCTCCTCTCCAAAGACGACCCAACCCACATCCTCGCCCCGTATTCTGCTCGACTCCACAAAGCTTCTCCGATCTTCCAGCAGCGACATTCGCAAGCGTGGACCCCAGACTAGTCTCCGCTTTGCACGTTCCTTACAAGTCGACGCCAATCTTCGCGTAGGAGTCGTGCGACCCTGGGGTTGAAGGGCTATCAGGTACACTACATTGGGGTCAGTAGGACCAACAATCGGCTCAAGGAGCGCGCGATGGAGAATCAGAAGGACAAGATGCGTGAGAGCATTGGAGAGAGGTGTTACGTCGAGCCGAGCAGTAGTGGCGCCTTGGGGACCCTCGCCATGTCGGGGCGACCCACAGGGGCTTCGCACGCTACCACACGTCTTACCTAACGACAACACCTGCCCCAGATTGAGGCTCTGCGCTACCATGCATACCTTGCACCTTTTACCTAACGACAATACCTGTCCCCAGATTGATGCTCCGCATCCTCCGACTCTTTACATAACAGTAAATCTGCCCCAGGTTGCGTCCGCAGCACTGGGTCGGCCCAGGCGTCAACCGCGCTTTCGCCATGCTTTACCATCCTTCTAGAAGCCGTGCTCCCCGGAGTTCACTGCGTAGCTGTCCGTCCTTCGATTCATGAGGCAATTGCGTGTGGAGAATATCCATGTCCCACTTGCATCTCTCCGGGATCCTTCCTCCGAAGCTCTCGTATCGAGCATATACGCTCGGACGCCTATGGTCATGTTCCGTGAATTTCTCCGCGTCTTGGACGCCCATCGCAATCAGTTTCTAGTGCTGTATACCACCGTACAACGACTAACGGCATTGCGGCATACCATATCATGTACTGCATCAGCACACGATGATTCTTGAATTAGTTACGACCTTGAAGCCACGATACAGCGATACCGTGTCGCATGGAGGCGCCCCAGACCCTGATTTCGAACTACAACCTTCTGAAGCGTACTTGTATACCATTGCGACTTGACGCGACAGGAAAGTGATTTACTGTAACCATCACTTCATGCGCTATCGTCACGCGACTACAACCTTCTATGTATGCGTATCCCATCTCTGCTATCTCTATGCGCACCCACTCATACCATCAATATTGACACAATTCATTTGAAAATATAACAAGGATGACGTAGTCATGTTAATTCGCTATCTCAGAAAGCATTGTTGAACGGAGCTGAACGGACCCTCGTCCCACAACGTATGCCCAGAAATCCACAAAAGATAAGCGTCTATTTCACTTGGTCCGACTTGCTTGGTCCCTGTTCCGGTCCTGGCTCTCGTGCTTATCGTTACACGCAGCTGTGGTGAAGCGGCCCTGTGTTGAAGCTTGCCCACGCCACATGGTGCATGGCGACATGCTCCTATGCTCCCCCAGAGTGCTCTCGAACGCACTCGACTTGCAATCCGCGGGCGCTTGACACTGGCGACATTCGATGATGTGAAAAATGGAGTTGGCTAACCGTCTTGGGCCTAGTCCGGCAAAACCTCGCTGTACCTGCACCAAAATTTTGCGGCTCGATGCGGCTCCAAGCCAGCTTGTCTCGGTTTTTAGCGGCTCCACGCTCATTCGCCCGCGCAAAGCATCAACCACCAGTGTCCACCACGGCGAAGGAGGGACCGCTACGCACCTGGGGAAACAATGAGCGCGCCGTGGGCGCACCTCCACATCGTTCCTGGGTCTGTGCCTGCCGATGTCGGTCGGGCCGACGATTTCTGCATATAACGCGTACCGTCGTCCTTCGAGGCAGTACTCATCCTCGCGTGCCATTTCCTATTGATACCCCGGATCAGAACATCAAAGCGACATGGGCTTCTCCAACGACAAGATGGGCGACGACATTGAGTACGGCAGCCAGCTCAAGGCCGAGGAAACCAACGCGCAAGGCCAGACTGATGCCGTCTTCGGTGAGGTCGTCGAGGGAGGACCAAACTACCGCAGCGTATGTCTCCATGTTGCGATTCTTACCTAACGCATATTGACGCCCAGCAGGTCAGCTGGTGGGGTTCGTCCATCATCATGATGAAGACACAAATCGGTCTCGGTGTGCTGTCTATCCCCGCTGCATTCGATGCCCTGGGTCTCATTCCGGGCATCCTCTCGCTGCTTGCCATCGGAGGAATCACGCTGTGGTCTGGCTACATGGTCGGCACATTCAAGATGCGTCATCCTGAAACGTACGGTATCGAGGATGTGGGGCAGAAGCTGTTTGGGCGCGCCGGCCGCGAGGTGCTCGGTTTGGCGTTCGCTTTGTGTGGGTCCTTACCTCATGGGAACATGGTTCTCCAGAACCCCAGAGTTGAGCGTGTGGACTGACGAAAAACAGTATGGACGTGCGTCGCTGGCTCTGGTATGCTGGGTATCTCCATCGGATTGAACTCCCTGTCTGAACATGGCACGTGTACTGCTGTCTTCGTGGCTGTGGCCTGCTTTGTGGGCTTCGCACTTGCTTCGATCAAGACCTTGGGCAAGCTCTCTTGGATTGCGTGGGGTGGTCTTGCTGGTATCATGTCAGCTAGTGAGTATTCCGTATTTCTGCACCAAAGGATGTGCCCTGACCACTACAGTCATTACCCTCACTGTCTCAGTCGGCATCCAGGATCGCCCATCTGCGGCGCCTCAATTCGGCCCCTGGCAATCTGACTTCGAACTCTTCAAGTCGCCCACCTTCGCTGAGGCCGCGGCTGCTCTATCCAGTATCGTCTTTGCGTTCTGCGGTATTCCTGCTTACTTCAACGTCGTGTCCGAGATGAAGGACCACAAGGACTACTTCAAGGCCCTGTCGCTGTGCCAATTCGTCATGACCTCCATCTACATCGCCATCGGCGTCGTCGTGTACTACTACTGCGGATCGTACGTCGCATCGCCTGCGCTGGGATCCGCCGGTGTCTTGATGAAGAAGATCTGCTACGGACTCGCACTTCCGGGTCTTCTTGCGTCCGTTATCCTGGTCACTCATGTGAGTTCCATCATCTCTCTTCCCTTTGCTCTTTACGGACAGTGTACTGATCTCACATAGCTCGTGGCCAAGTACTTCTTCATCCGTACTCTGCGCGGAACAAAGCACCTCAACCACCCCACCGCTAGGCATTGGATCACCTGGTTCGGCTTCACCGCCGCCGTTTCCCTGACTGCTTACATCATTGCATCTGCGATTCCCGTCTTCGGTGGCCTCGTCTCGCTCGTGGGCGCACTTTTGGGCACCCTCATGAGCTTCCAGCCAATGGGCTGCATGTGGCTGTACGACAACTGGCACCGGTCCAACCGCGACTGGAAGTGGAAGGGTATGGTTGCATGGTCCATCTTCGTCATTGTCTCTGGCACATTCCTCCTCATTGGTGGTACTTATGGTTCGATTGTCGGCATCATCGACTCGTACAACAAGGATGGTGGCACCAGCCCTTGGTCGTGCGCGGATAACTCCAATTCGAGCGGTGGTCACTAAGTGTGGCTGTCGGAGGAAGAGGCTTGATTTGATGGTGCTCTGGTCTTGTTCTTTTAGCGATGCATATGCATGATTTCAATGCGAATATCTTACATTGTTCAAATATACGTTGTGTCTGGCATTCTTGAGTGCAGTGATGATGAAGCTATAGTGGAGACGGCCATGTCGAATGGCTGATTGGGTTGGCGACAACTTCACGGCTCTTTCCTGTATCGAGGGAGAACATGAGATCGGGTGGGTGCGAGGTATATGTCGTGCCTGCTGGCTCATGCTTGTTTCGTCTGGTGCTGCATCCTGCTGGGCGCGTCCTGCAAGGCTTTGACATGTGCTATATCCGCTTTTGCGATGCAGCCGGCATTCATGTCGATGAATTACCGTCGGGGTATTCGTAACAACTTCATTCTTCCGGACGATCTACTAAGGCTGTCGCAGGTTAAGATCGAGTCGTAATCCACCTAGTCTGCTTGTATATTGAAGAGTAGATGTTGCCGTGGTATAGTCGTAGCGCCTTGAGCGTCAAGAAACGCTGTTGTTGTGTTTGGTAGAGGCGTCTATTGTCAAGGAAAAGAGATGCAAAGCTGACGACATGCTCAAGTAGACTGAACAGAAGACGAAGACGTAAGGGAAAAGCAAGACTGATAGGAGACTGATGCATGCGAAAATGAGAAACAACGACGCGAAGGCTAGTGATTTGTACAATAATGAGAGTAGACTGAATCACAGCATACGGGAACACGCGGAGAAAGCAACGCAACTTACCCTTAGTATACCCCAGATGCGCAGGAGCCTAGTACTTATACTCCGCCTCCGGGTGCAACGGGCTTCTTATCTGATTACACCTCCACGCCCTACAGCCCTACAACCTCTCTCCGCAACTTTTCCGCAGGATAAAGCCGCGGAGAAGTGGGTCTCGCACACCGACTTCGCAACTGCCCTCTGGAACGACCGGGGAAATCCAAAGTGAGCGCGCACCTCAGTACTTGAACAGCGCATGCAGAATGAGGGCGCGGGTATCTTATACTGTTTGAGATTACAGCGATTAACAGGTTCAGGGTCCGAATTGAGGCTCTGCGATAAGCGGTCGGAATATGATTGGTGGTTATCGGAGTATTCTGAATCCGTCGGTTTACTCCGAGAAACACGGCATCACGATTATCCCGACGAAGCCGGCTTCAGCGAAACATATGATTGTGTCTATGCAGATCAGGCATCCAAAGGACTCAAAGACACATTCTACATTCTCGTGGCGCGTACAAACATGGGGACGGTGCTCTCGTACGCTTACATGCATTGGCGAATCAAAGCCCAGGAGGTGCGAGCCGACCAATGAGAAAGGTGCCGATGGACCGTCTTACAGGTCTCGGTACAAGCAACATACTGTCGTTTCCTCGCTTTTCTGAATGTTGTATCCTTTTGTACTTTACAATCGGCCCTTTGGACTCTATCTACGCGATGAATAGTACAACTCGCAGAAAAGTACGCTCAGGATGTGGTACCTGCAGGTAAACGGCCTTTGCAAATCATGAGAGAGATCTGACCGAGCATTAGAACCCGGAGAGTCAAATGCGACGAGCTCAAACCGGTATGCAAGCGATGCTACTCCACAGGTCGCACGTGTGAGGGCTACGGCATTTGGGGTGGAGGAGGAAACGGGTACGCAGAGCGCTATGGTAGCAGAAAGACGTGTACCCCGTCGCTGCACCATCACTATCCGGCTGCGAAGCTCAAGTTGAGCGATGAAGACCAGGGATATCTAGACTGGTTTCACCATCGCCTTGTACACGACTTGAGTGGTCGGCTTGCAGAGGGGTTTTGGACGGCGCTGGTTATGCCTACGCTGCTGAATGAACCTGTCATCGCACACGCGGCCATTGCGCTGAGCTCGGCCCACAAAAACGCTGTTTTGGCATCGGATCGTACGCAGCTAAAGTGTGAGCTTCTTGTCATGAGGCATTACAACGAGTCGTTGCGACACCTCCGGTCCGCGATTGGGCTTGGTGGGAAGACGATATCCAGCCTCGCATTAGTCTCCTGTCTACTTTACACTTTGCTAGAGCAAGTGAGAGGCAGGATTGAGCAGGCTGAGATGCATCTACAGGGCGGATTGCGGTTGTTAAAGGATGTTCATGAAAGCCTATGTGTCAACATGTATGGAACGACTTTGCTAAAGAGAAGCACAAGTGTGGATCCCGACCAGGTCAGGATCATGCAAGGATTCGCATCCCTCCATCTAGAATCGCAGTTCCTAGGGACAAGCTCGCCGGGCATTGACATCCTCGTGCAGTCTTCTGTGGAAGATGTGCCGTCACGCACCTTCCAATCGATTGAAGAAGCTCGATACTCGTTGAACAAACTTGTTCACGCTATCCTTCTCATCTCGCGGCGTTTCCTCCGGATAACAGCAACGGAGCGTGAGGATCAACTGAGAAGGCTTGACATCCACAATCAGGCACTATGCTTACTCCAGGACTGGCTGAAAACGTACAAGTCTACAAATTTTTGCGTGACGAAGAAGGATCGCGACTGCCAAGTTGGACACACAATACTACTCAATCATTACGAAATGGCACTCATCATGTGGGGTCACATAGGCTGCACCTCAGAATCCGGGTATGAGTTCCATACTGCAAAGTTCCTCGCCATACTGGAGCATTCAGTGGAAATCTGGCACTTGTTGCCTTCACTGTCTGCAGCCCAGAGCACTAGTATTGGCGACAACTTGGCTACTCCGTTGTTCTTTACAGCTCTCAAATGTCGCGACCGCCGCATTCGATTACAAGCCGTCAGATTACTCAACACCATCCCCTTCAGCCAGGGCGGCTGGAGCTGCCTGTTGATGTCCAAGATTGCAGCAGAAATTGTGACATTGGAGCAAGATGCTTCCACCGATCGCTTCCTGAAAGACGGCTTTGATGTCACTGACACTCAGACTTTTGCTGGCGTTGAGACTTCCCCTCACTCATCTTCGAAACTGATTCATGACGTACGGATAAGTTCTTGGGATACGTCAACTGATACAGTTAGCCTTCGTTGTCAGCGATGGACCGATGATGGCGGAGTGATAACATTCTATCATGATATGATTATCTCCCGGTAGTCGATACAAACGCACGCACTTGAGTTGCTGCGTGAGGGCAATGTTTACTCGAGCATGCAGAGATACGGTGTTCAAACGACCTGGTTCCCAAGCTCTTCCTGCGTCCATTTCCACAGCTTCTCCCCAAGCTCCCTATCCCTGGACAAAGCGCTGCCCTTGCCCAATACGCCAACAGGTTCGTAGTACCTGCCGCTCTGCACATCATCAGAAGTCAAGGCCCAAAGCCCATTCTTGACGCCTTCCTCCAAGCTCACGCCCACTCTCGGCGCCACTTCTCGCGCGAGGTACTCAATTTCTGGTCCACCGCCCTGCACACCTTTATCGAACAACTGCGTAGCTACGTCCTCTGGATGGATAGCCACAGAAATGATCAAGGGGTGATGCCGTGCGATCTCTCGTGCGTACACCACATTGGCAAGCTTCGACTGCGTGTAACGCGTCACCCCTGAGAGACCCGACTGCGCCGATTTCAGGGTTGGAAACGCGATACCTCCCGGTGGGACTTCGAAGGCGTGGCCACGCGAGCTGACGGACACTACTCGAGGCTCGGTCGCGGACGTCTCAGCGGTCTTGATGAGGAGTGGAGCCAGCATGTCAAATAGCAATGCGTGACCGACGTGGTTGGTGCCGAATGCTAGCTCGTATCCCTCCGCCGTAACGCCTGGGGGTCCTCCCATCTAGGAGCATATCGGTTCAGTTCTATCGTGGAGATCAAGCAGAGCTGGACACTCACGATTCCCGCGTTCAACATCAGAAGATCCAGCTGAGCTGCTTCTACAAGTACAATCTTGGCCGCCGCCTTGATCGACTCGAAAGACGTCAAGTCCAGCTGCACAAATCTCACGTCAACGCTGGACCTTGTTGACTTGACGTCTTTCACAGCTTCCAGGCCTGAATGTTCATTTCGAGCGGCGATCCAGATCTGCATGGGATCGTGCTTCGCCAATTCGATGGCAGTTTGTTTTCCGATGCCGCTATTTGCACCCGTGATCAGAATGACTTTCCCATTGAGTGAGGGGATATCGGCATTAGGTTTGAAGGCGTGTGGCTTGCTAGGTTGGAGCTGATCGAGCGCTCCGATAGCGGGATGAGGTTCCGTTGAAGTCATTCTTGGTGACGATTTGAGTGGCTTTTGAAATTCAATATGGCACTTGAGAACAGCGAAGACAGACTTTTATTTATATGTAAATGTGAGATGTCATCTCTGCGGCGATGTTGTTTACAGAAGTTTGTCTTGTGACGACGCCAATATCGTAAGAGAAATGGCAACCTATTAAGTCCGAATCTACCAATCGGAATAAGGTACTATAACCGTAGAGGGAAGCTCGCTTCAAAGGCCCGGAGATATGAACATAACGCCATATCAGAAGGATCATGTAGAACACTGAGCTCGGCAGAGATTCGCAATGCTGATTGGTGGGCTCGCACCTCTTTGGCTCTTGATCGATGACGCATCGCTATGTCGGGATGCCTTGAGACGCTCGTAGATGATCGGATCAGTTGACACGGTCTAGTCGGACAGATGCTGAGCCGACACGCCTTAACGATACCAGACTGGGCGGCCATTTCAGGACTTGAGCAGGTTCACACAGGTTGGCCCTAGTGCGACAGCGAAGCCGAAGGCTGCCAAAGACGAGACTTGGTGCGCAAACCAAAGAATCTTCCATTCATTGAAAGTGCCGGAAGTGCTGGATGTGAACCTCGCGCCGGTTCGTTTCCTGCCATGACCCGCGACAATGGCGTCGTATCTCACCCTGTGGTCCTCCGTCGTCCATGACCTTTTGAACCATAGTCGCAAACGCCAAAAGGCAGGCTTGTGGCCTACCAGATCGTGCGATTATGTACGTCAACGTGACTCACAAGTGTCGGTCCAAGTTGTAGTCATTCAGCGCAGGTCATAGAATTGTGAAAAGATCAGTCTTCGCTCCAGCTCTCCGCTTCTCATGGCTTATGATCCTCTTCTAGCCTTTTATGAGGTATTTCGAAGGCCCAATAAAGCTTCAGATAGGCCATCGTCGCTGGTGTATGGGCGCAGATCGGCGCGGATAGGTTCAATCGTACGCGTGTGCTTTGAACGTGGAGACGGTGGCAGAGGCAGCGGACGGGACGGTGGCGCGTGCGGTTTGACTCAAGAATCTTGAGATGCTCTAAAGCTACAATATCAGACCGAGTCAGTCTGTGCCATAGAGCTAATGCGCACGCGTGCGACGTACCCGTCGTAGCATCCCAGTACAGTCTTCTTCTCCTAGTACTCAAAGCCTCATCACAAAACGCCGGCAATGCCCGCTCTCGACTTAATGAAAACCCCACGGCCTAAGATAATGCCGCAGCCTTACGTGGTTTTGCCCATCATGGAGATGTCGTTGGTAGCGCAAAGTTGGGGGACGGACGGGAGTGAGCTCGTTGAAGCAATCGAACGTGACGTTATCATCAAAGTCGAGCGACTAGGCGCCCTGAAGCACTGTGTGAGATCCTGCTGACAGTAATTGTGTATGCGCAATGCATTGCCGGTGAGTGCATGCGACAAGAGGTTCTGCAATGGTTAAAGCCAGAGCGGGCGATCGCTATCGTCTTCGGTTCGCTTAGCACGGGCTTCCCCCAGGTTTTCGGCGCTCAGCGTGGTATGCTCCGCCCCCACGGTGCTGGTTTAATGCGATCCGTCATACAGCAAGACAAAGAGATCATTCTAATTCTGCGCTATATGACGCACTCGCAATGTGAACATTGTTCACTCAACCTTGCGTGTGAATTGTATTACGCAGCCTGGGTCAAATGCTTGCATTTAATTTGGCATACTGAAGGCGAGCGCCCTCGTGCCCACAACCCTTCTGCCGTGGGGTTCTACACGGTGGCCATGCCATAGATGTTCATATAACGATACTCTGAAACAAAAAACCCTCTTCGCTACCAGCTCTTAGCGATGGTGTCATCACATCGTAGCAACGATCAGCACTGCAATGCGAAGAAGATAAGGTGCTGCTCCTTCCAAAACACCCTCCCAAGATACAATCCGGGAGAGATGAGTCGAATCTCATCTCGCACCCAATGCGCAACCACCGATGTCTTCGAATAGTCTAGTACAATACATTCCTTGCCGTCGATCCAGCTCGGTTCACGAATTATGTGGGCGAGGATAGCGTCGAGGCCAAAGACGGTGATCTTGTTTAGGAGTGCCATCTTCTCCGCATCGAAGATCTTGCCCTGCCAAGCGAAGAAGTTGATAAACTTGGCGATCTCAGGCGTGAAGGTAGTTCCGGGCGCGATGATCGCAGTGCCTTGGGCGTCACCGTTAGGTATAGGTCCAGCTTTGGCATCAGAAAAGAGGGCGGTGAGTTCAGATTCGGTTTTGGTAAGTAGGTCGTCGACGTTGTATACCATTGTGGTGGTTTTTCATTGACTTCTGGACGTAAAGAGGGGCGGAGAGATTCGAACTGAGAGAAAGTTGGAACAGGACCTTATTCTGCCACACTCAGCTGGGTATCTTGTCACACAGTCCCAGCTCCTGGTTTTCGACCACAAACATGAGCAAGATGCACCTTATGCGTCGGCAAGGTTCGTCTCATCAGATCTAGCGATGCCGCTGGTTGGACTAGAGGCTTAGGAGTCTGATCAGCCATACTGAGCTGAAGTCGATTCTGGAAAGCAATTCGTTACCAGCCGTTAGCTTGATGAAGTTGCATGCTGACGTGAGCGACCGTGACCGCATTATCGTGTAAGCTGCGGCTGAAGGTCACCATTAGCAGGCAACACGGGTTGGGTACATGTATAGGATTATATGCCGCTGCAGAAGCTGCAGTACGTTGGACACGGTGCGTACAAGATCTTAAGACCTCAAGATGCGTTGATATCTAATCAGGGGTCAGCTTTATCTTTATAGGCCGAACGACGTTAAGAATCGTTGTTGCTGCTAGATCGATCTTTGGCTTTGACCTTGCTCCAAGCAGGCTGCGTGCCAGGCGATATTCGTGCCATCAGGTGCGCTCGGTTTAGCCTCGTGTGGATGATTTGCGGTTTCGTTGCAGCATCTGAGCTGGCTGAGGTGACGCTGGTTGACAATAGTTCGTCGTTGAAGTGCTCGCGCGCGGGCGCCAGGGTGGAGCTGGTTGCCGCCTGGCGGCCTCGCTGAGAAAGCTTTGTCCGCGCCTCCCTCCCCACGTGGGAAGCTAAAGGACCGCAACGTGGATCAGCCCGACTTGTACATTCACCCACGCTCCAGCAACTCCCACGATATCAGCGACGTCTACAAATGCAGTGACGCCCACAAAGACCGCTTCAGCCAGCGGCTCCACCCCAGCGGTATACATTCCTTCGACCGCAGCCTCCGTCGTCCGCATTGACACGAGCTGTCCTCCATTTTTAGTCGCCTGGGACGGCAAGAGATACACCTGCACTGAGGATAGAAACATCAAGGATGGCGATATCACTAGCATAAGCGCATATTCACTGCAGCAATGTATTGATGCGTGTAGCACGTGGAATGCTGTGCATAGCTCGGCACTATGCAAGGGGATAACCATTGGGGACGACCTGTCAATTGCGTATCACATAAAAAGTGGTGCTAACTGATGGTTGAAGAACGACACGACATATTTGACGTACACGCAAGGGCAGGGCGGCAACCGGCCAGCGATTGCGGTGTTGCATGAGTAATCATGCTCGCCCCAGGCGTGTTCCGCAAACTTGAATTAGAGTTGTGTTTGGTCGTTTCTTATCACTTCTCATCGCTCCTACGGAATATCATCTGCTGCAACCCAGATTGCGGTCGTCCTCTCGGATGGGTCTCAAGCGCTTGGAGCTCGTACCTGGCTCTATTCTTGCATTGTTCCCTAGGCTATCTCTGGCGGGTTTCCGAAATTCGTATTATTTGCCGATAAAACGTGATTATTATTCGCACGAGTGGGAACTTTGCACAATCAAGCTGCCTTTTCTACCTAAGCTTCAGCCTTAGCAGTTTCAGCGTTGGTTGCGCGTGATCGGTACGGGCCGAAGTCGCACGCCAAATTGCCTTTTTTGTTTGCCGGCGCGTTGCTGTCGTGCCCGCCAATCGCGCTTTGCGCAACGAAGCAGGAGCTCCTGCAGCCAAGCAAATTGCCAAGAGTCTCGCGCGCTCACTTTCATCCTTCGTTCAGCATTTCTCCAGAGCTCCGCCGTCGTGACGGGCACGCCGAGTGGCATATTCAGCTCAACATTCGTGGAATCAGTAATGATGTTGCTGCTTCTGTACACCATCCAGGATAGCGTCACCATCCAGGCCATTTGAGCGCAACAATGGTTCAGGGGTCAACAACATGACTACAGGCTGTAGAAATGTGTCTATGGAATACGAGAACAAGCTTCTGTTGATGCAGGTCCATCGCACGTGTCGCAGGGGAGTCTAGGGCAACAACGTGTGTAGGTGACGCGAACCGCAAGAGGATCGTCTATCACGACCTCCTCCTGTTCTCTCTTCAGGTGAGAGACTGTATTCACCACACGTGCGTCGGATGATGGAGTCAATGGCTCAGACGTCCAGACATCACTTCGTTCACTTGCAATCTCGCCCAAACTCTATTCTGACCACTGAGCAGGTAACCCCTGATTCAGACAGTAGTCCTACTCTTGCGTTTGATTTCTCTAACACACTTACAAGTCCAACGTCCTAGCATGCTTATCCTCCCGACACTCTTTCGGCACTCTGACGCATGACTGTCTCAAACGCACTATTAATCCGCTGCCTTCTCTCTTGATGGTCTTGTCCCGGTACTTTGGCTTGGCACTACCATATCCCTGTTGATCGAATATTGACTCCAGGCCGGATTCGGCAGGTATTTGGCTGGACATCTTCGTAACCATCACAGTCTGCATCAAAGCGTGCTAGTAGCCACGGAGTCATAGTGCGGAGACCACCTAAAGCCTTGGAGTTTGCGCTATAGCATCCGTCAGTTGCTCAATAGCACACCATACTATGCTTGGGAATGGTGAGGTCCTTCGACCTTCTCAATCAAGACAGTCGCTGCTACTCTACCATGGCTGTAGTCTCGATGGCATCATAGAACCGGAGAATTGTGACGACTCGGTCATTTGAATACCTCTGTGGTCGTGTATATAAGATGAAGTGAATATCGCTCTGTGAAGGCTATCAAGCATCACCCTTGAGATCCTCAGACACTTCTTCTACCGGTCCACACTCAGTGTTCTCCTGAGTAAATCTTCCACTGACGATCCTGGAGCTTCACACTCACGCACCGCAGACTTCAACATGGTCAACGTTCGCAACCTCGCTGTATTCTTCGGAGCCCTGCTCCCCGGTGTCCTTGCGGCTCCTGCTTCTATCACCAAAAAGGACGATATCATCCCCGGGAAGTTTATCGTCACTCTCAAGCCTGGTGTCGACGCTGCTGCCGCCGAAGCTCACTTGAACTGGGCCGCCGACGTCCACAAGCGCAGCTTCGCCAGGCGCGACACCGCCGGTATTGAGAAGGAGTTCGGCATCGAGGACTGGAAGGCGTATTCTGGCGAGTTTGACGAGGCTACCATTGCTGAGATCAAGGCCAGCCCTGAAGTGAGTAGCATTCTGAATCAATGAAATTCTGATGGGCAACATCGTCACTGTTCCCGCATCAGTGTTGCTTCAACGAATTGGAGTTGCTTAGCCTTCTTTCCTCACCCACTTCTGTTTTTCACAAATCGCTATCAAGAAACCGTCACATATCTTCGGCTGTACTGATCTACTACAGGTTGCCCTTGTCGAGCCCGACACAATCGCATACCTCTGGTATGATGTGGAGGAGGTCCACGAGAATGCGCTCGAGAAGAAGGCCTTGACCACCCAGTCAAGTGCCCCCTGGGGCCTTGGTGCTATCAGCCACCGATCCGGCTCCTCTACCCAGTACATCTACGACACCACCGCTGGACAGGACACCTACGCCTACGTCGTCGACTCCGGTATCATCGTTGCCCACCAGCAGTTCGGTGGCCGTGCCACCCTCGGCTACAACGTCTTCAGTAGCGCCCATACCGATACCCTAGGCCACGGCACCCACGTTGCCGGCACTATCGGTGGTTCGACCTACGGTGTCGCCAAGCGTACCAACCTGATCTCCGTGAAGGTCTTCGAGGGCCGAACCGGTACCACCTCTAACATCCTTTCCGGCTTCAACTGGGCAGTCAACGACATCACATCCAAGGGTCGCACCGCTCGCTCTGTCGTTAACCTATCCCTTGGCGGTGGAGCCTCCACCACCTGGACCAACGCTATTCAGGCCGCCTACACCCAGGGTGTCCTTTCCGTCGTCGCTGCCGGCAACGGTGACGAGTCCGGCCGCCCGCTCCCCGTCTCTGGCCAATCACCCGCCAACGCCCCCAACGCCATCACCGTCTCTGCGGCGGACAGCTCCTTCCGCCCTGGTAGCTTTACCAACTACGGCGCTGGTGTCGACATCTTTGCCCCCGGTGTCGGTATTCTGTCCTCGTACATCGGCAGCAACACCGCCACCGCCTCGCTGTCTGGTACTTCCATGGCTGCGCCCCACGTTGCTGGTGTTGTTGTCTACCTCCAGGCTCTTGAGGGCTTGTCCACCCCTGCCACGATCACTAACCGCATCAAGGCGCTCGGTGTCGCGAACAAGATTACTGGCACCCTTAGTGGTAGCCCCAACTTGTTTCTGTACAACGGCAACGGTGCGTAAGCGCCTGTTTGGATTGAGAGGAGATGTATATAGATGATTCACGATGCATGCAGGAAGTTTAAACTGGAGTAGTATAAGAGAGATACTGTATCAGAGATAAGATTATGCTTAATGTATCTAAATTGCAAACTACGTTCTACGTACTTAACTTTTAGCAAAATTGTGAAAGTCGTGACTGTACACAATAGTACTTGCTTTACGTTACTAAGAGTGGTAAAAGACAGCTAGCTGTCAAAAAATAGAGATAATAATACTGGATGCACACTTGCTCATAGTGAATAATAGTATTGTTGGTTATAGACTAGAGACGAATCGCTATCGAGCCACGATAGCGGGGGGAGAGGTATTTAAGGCCATTCTGGCCCATTCCGGGCCAGGAAGTACCGGAACGGTCCAGTTCCTGACACTAGCATATTAATACGATAGACATAGTTAGGAAGGAGAATAATTCTTATTCTCTTTCGCTTAGGCGAGGTGCGCCTCATAAACAGGTCTAGCGCCTATTACTCTCTTAGAAAAAGCACACGTCTTGCGCAGTAGGCTCTCTAGCACAAGGTGATTCTTAGTCTGTTACAGTGGCGGAGACTGGATATGAATGTATGGATCACGTCTAGTATGGGTAATCATAGCCTACGCAATGCATTAACAGTACTAGCGCTTTGGTCGGATGTTTTACAGAAGTATATTCAACTCAAATGAAGATATGGCTAGCCCTCTTGCTGTCACGATGTTCCATCACCACAAGATTCCAGCCACAGACAGGTGAGCCACCGGGAACCCTTCGGGGCACCGTCGGCCCACACCAGCCACGGTCACGTGATGTAGATATATATTATCCCTCTAGGAGGCTTGATAGCTCCTTAAGGATTTGTCTTAATACAAGCCTATACCTATATATCTTAGTGCCTGCCCAGCTACTCCTCACACTATGCAACTAAAGAAAGTACGTATAACTAGTAAACTACTAATTATAGTGTAGGATAGTATATGTTATTAGCTAGGCCTAATAATATCCTCCTTCTTTACAGTGTATACCCTTAAGCGCTTAGGCTACTAAGCGCAAGCTTATAATAGATAAGTAAGTAATACTAAGCCCTCTAGCAGCTTACAATACTTTATTATACTACGAGGATACTTACGCATCTTGTACTTGGCTGGTGAGATTTGACCCCAGCGCTAAATTAGTGGAAATCAATTGCTCCACTTAGTTTAGCGTGCAATCTATGAACGCGACACCACCGCGACAACTGGCGCGTCTGTGTAGCAGATAGACACAACCATAGAAGAGCGCTGGTGTCGAGTTCGTGCTCTTGTCTCCTGCACCTCACCCTGGGAGACATCGCGCCCCCTCCAGACCAAATCTACAGTTCCTATGAAGAGGCTTATGATGCGCTCAAGACGCATAGCATGCAGCATGGCTACGGCTTTGTCCTTAAGCGGAGTTTGCCTCATAATTGTGAGGTCAAGACACGTTACTACTACTATTGTGATCGTTTCAGGAGCCACTACAAGTCGACGGCAAAGATGCTGAGCACAAGCACACACTCAATAGGGTGTCCTTTCAAGCTTACTATCTTCAAGGTGAGGCACAGCGACCAGTGGAGACTAGAGGTCCACAACAAGAATCACAACCACCCCCGGTCGATCAACCCTAGCGCGCACAACGTCTATCGTAGGCGTACATTGGCGCAGAAAGAGGTGATCGAGTCGATGACGCATGCCGGAGTACGGCCGATGTAGATACTGGCAGCCATTCAAAGAGAGGACCAGGACACATTGGTTTCTGCCACCGACATTCGCGGCGAAAGAAAGGCAATCCGAGAGAAGCACTTGAACGGAAGAAGCCCCATGGAGACGCTGTTGGATGACTTATCTGCGGCAGACCTAGCTCTTGACCCAAGCGTGCTACAGCAGTGACGGCTTCTGAGGCTTGGAAAGACCTTAGTCCGCGCAAGAGACGACGACGTAAGTAGAGGATAAGATTAATAAGACAACTTTCACAATCGGCAAAAGACCGCCTTACCACTATTTGGCGTAATAATTCCCAATCTACCACTGTTTCCAATACACTACCACACATGTGGCCGTGCGTCGGAAATGGACCGAAATACCACCATTTCTGCCCTAAATGCCACCATTTCATCGGTGAGCTTCGTGTCACCTCCAGACACTTTCAAGTAATTGATGTTGTCAAGTAGCAGTCTAAACGAAAGAAAAGTCTTCAACATGCTGATGTATTTTGGTGTTGGGTTGCAGGACTTTTGGTTAACCGCGTCAGAACGCGTTGAGTCCTCCATCGCGCCGGACGTGTTGAGACTGTCAGCCGCTTGGCTTTGGGGGCTGACCGCCCAGAAACTGGGAAGCAGTCGCCTGTCAGGGCTGGGCCGCTAGATACTAATCGGTCGACATTGGTGGCATTTAAGGCTGAAACTGTGGTATTTCGGTCCATTTCCGACGCACGGCCACATGTGTGGTAGCGTATTGGAAACAGTGGACGTAAATATATTTAGGGGTCTCTAGGAGGATTCAATACCTGGGTTACTGAACTCTATACATCTACTTGCTATTTCGAGTCTAAATTTATTTGAGTGTTAGAGAAACAATTATCACTTCCTAAATCGAGATTCAAGATTATCATTCGTTCTGGAGCTTGATACCGATGCCATCACGCTAGGCCTAATCAAGTATCGTAACGCGGGTCGGGTCGGGTCGGCCATTAATAATCTGATTGCAACTGAAGATTTGAACCTCCAGGAACCACAATTCGCCTACCATCTCCTGCTCGATCTCGTACTGTATGATTCGTCCGTCGGATTGTGTACATACACCTTTACTAATCTTTGAACGAAAATATAGCTCCTCTCAAAGGCTTCACCTCATATCCTCTTCTACCAGCCTGATCCAGACATGGACATATATCTCTATAAGATCGTGGACAAGGATGACTCGTCCTACTTGATACGTAAGCCACATGCAACCACCAACGATGACTACATCGCCATATCGCACGTCTGGGGCAAGCCTGAAACTATCAGCCATATATTTGTCGCTGGAGTCGGTGAGGTATCTCTCAGCCCGGGCAAGAAAGATATCCTATCTATTCTGCGACGACCAGATATATGTGGAGAAGGTTGGTTCTGGATGGATTTGTTATGTATAGACCAGTCTCCAAATGCTACCATAAGCATTTCAGACCAGCTCTTGGCAATACCGCATATCTACAAGTCCAGTCGATGTGTCAAGGTCCTTATAGAAACCCCAATCTGTAGGACCTGGCATGACACTGCTACAAGATCGGACGCGTTCAAAAATTGGTGCTCAGCAACTTGGAAAATGGATGAGGAGTATGCCATGGAGAAAGTGAAAGAGTTCATGGAGTGGGAATCGATGCATGCCCGTAAATGCCCCTGCATGCTTTACCATGACGCTTGGTTCGATAGGCTCTGGACTAGACAAGAAGGTCTGTACGCTGCGAAGCTGGACTTTATCGCACTGAACATGGTCGATTGCCTGAGATACGATACATCTCAAAGTAATGACCGCAAGTGGGTCGCCGAAGGTGACAATCGCTTGAGAAGAGAAATGGTGTTCACTTTTATTGCCGACAAGCTGAAGTACCATGGGGCTCCTCCACGAGAAGGGTATCGCACAGCAGCCTTTTTCAAGATGGTCTACGCACGCAACTTAAGGATTGACCATTTTGAAGGGCAGATCGGCCCAGTGGACGGCTACTCTCCAATCGATGAAGCATGGAGAAGTAATCGAATCACCACCAAATCGCGCGATTACGTTCTCGCCATATTTCCCGACATCAAGGGTTATAAAGTTCCCTCCAACGTCCGGGCCTACAAATTTCGAGAGCTGTTGCTGGATGCAATCAATCAACTCGGAGGGCAAGGGCCACCAGTCGCACTGAAAGTCCTTGATACGCTTATGAATCCTGGAGGGACTGAACAGGAGGAACTATTCCATTCATCCTGGAGCAGCCGGACAGTGCTAGTGAAGCATTCGATACTTTTACGACCCTTGATAGCGGGCCTCGCGATGCCACGACCACAAAATATGCAATCAAAGGCCACCCTGAAATCGTCCCGATATCCAATTCTTTGAGGCTCGAGACGATTTCAATGACCCCGGATGATTTGCCCGCCCTGGTGACCCTATGGAGCTCTACTGCCAACAACCTAATGCATTATCTCACCGTGTGCCTTTCCGGCCCTTGTCTAGGGAACAATTGGGGACTGAGTCCAGAAAACTTATGCTTTCGATATCTAGCATTCCAATTCGGCAAAGTAAGGATCGATGAATGGGTTTCAACACAGCCAAAGTCCAAGATTCCAAGCTCGCCTCATGGAATTGTGAATTGGGAGAATCTAAGAAAGACAATTGGTGATCCAGAATGTGAGGTGCTAATACAGCGCTTTATGGCCTGTTTGATTTGTGGCTGTTCACTCAGGACTACAGACCATCTTCTCATGTATGCTGATTTTAGGGTGGTTGAAACACCATTTGGCAAGTTGCTGGCTCTGGTGAACAAGAAAGAGGCCTCATTAGCGGACCACGAGGAGTACATTCTTGTTAACCGGGGTTTGTGGGATTTCGAGGGATTTCACATTGCTATCCGGTGTGTCAAAGAAGATGGCTATCGTACCGTGGGTAGGACTTGGATTCCGAAGAGGTCTACAGGATGACGGTTATGTCGCTGGTAACAGGGTTTGCAGACCTTCTATCAACCTGTTTGCTTCAATGTTGTTTGACCTTCTCAACCTCCACTTGATCGAGGAAGCTCCAAAGTTTGTCTTGCACTTGCCTGCTATTATTGTCTGACCTCGCTCAAAATCGAGGACGTGATCGCGTAGCAAAACTTTTATTTCCAGGCTAGTCTCGACCTATCTTTCGTACAAGTCAAAACTTTTATTATAAGTGATTGTCCTTCAGCGTTCCTACGCCTTATCAAGCAAGGATCGTGAACTCCTTCATGGGCCAATCTTGTGCCAACGCCTCGTCACCCCACGCAAAGCCAACGATCTTATTCCCCGCCTTCCCATTCACAGACTTTCTTACGAGCAGCATCAAAAGAGTCGAATTATAGTCGAAAACCTTGCCAAGGAATCCATGCCTATAGAATCGCTTTTGCCCGAGGTTGAGAGCATAACTTGCATCTTGAGTTGATGGTTTCAAACTCCATCTTTCCGCCGTGGCATAGTCAACAACAATGTCGGGATGCGTTTTCTGAAAGTATTCCAGTTCGACTTGAGGTCCCGTGTACCTGGAGATTGGAACAGCTTTCGTTTTGGTGGTCAAATTTCCAAGGTCGTCAATCGAGCCAGTCGGTGCACCATCAAGCCACCACCACATCGCACGCAAGTCGTCTTCCAAAATCTTTGACACTTCTTTCTCGCCGTCTTCCGTATCCACGAAAGCTCGCCCGGTAACCCTCGTTTTGGGCATCATCGGGATGGTGCTGAGGCCGGCTGGTGTACGAACATTGGGCGCTAGAGCAAGCCACTCGGCCCCATACCCCTTCTTCATGAGTTCTTGGAGTAGTCGTATCGTCGCCTTTTGTCGGTCGTTGTGGTCGAAAGCATTAGGATCAAGATTGACCCCAAGAAGGCCCATGATACTGAACACCATATCGACAGGTCTTGATGATGTTCGCAGAAGTGTTGCTCGCCAGATAGCATTCATTCGTCCTTCCGTCTCGCCTTGAGTCAAAGCACCAAGAAGTGTCGTTAGATGATGCACCTGACCGGCCTCCTCCCCATCGCTCAATATTGTAGGACGTAATGCCCGCGGAGCCTTTTCCCCTCCTCTGCCACGCAATATTATCTGACACTCTCCGTGAGCCATGGAGGCCATGAGAATTTCTTCTAGACTTGCTACAGCAGCCGTCTGAGGCTCCACTTCCTCAACCAAGATCGAATCCGTATGCTGCCAAGTGCAAGATCCCCAAGTCCAATGAAATACAACTTGTACGGAGGGCGGAGCAACCGACTCTTGTAGAGTCCAAGCACGATGAATCCAGGGCGTGACCTCTGTGACTCCAGCAAGCTTTGCCAAGCCACTAGGAAGGACCAAACATACTTTGCATAATTGGTACACCCTGAACATATTTCTGATCTGCCAAGTCTTGTCTTCCTTGCTGGTTTGAATGACAGAAAGACGATCGATCCAGAGTAAATCGCACTTGAAGTGTAGAGCCGCAAGACAAGCCGTATGCAGCACGCCTGAGTTTATCGGGTCTGCGTCTTCAGCACCTCGGATTGTGAAATTGGGGGCAGACGAAGTGGCTCCAGGCTGTGGGCGCAGGCCGCGCCAGACATACGACAATGCAGCGTACTCCGAACCGGGTAGCTCTGAGAATTCCCGAATGTAGATAAGCTCCTTCTTTAGGTATCGCTTGACATCGAGGAATCTGAACCGACAAGGACTAAGGGTTTCTTCGTGCGCAAAGGTTTTCGAATCTCGACTGCCTGAGATCTCTTTCATCATGCGGAGTTTCGATTCGGGTGACTTTTCGGGACTAGAGTTGGTCGTGGCTTTGAGGCGCTCGAGGAATAGCTTCATAGCAGAGGCCATACTGCAGAGTTGCTAACAGTCAGTTCAATCTGATTCGACTGACTGACTGACTGCTTGGCAGTCAGATCAGAGTCAGTTTGAAGCTTGCATTTTATCAGTCAAATCAGTTTAAAGCGCTCAAACTGACTAAACTGACTGAGATCGGACTGTTATTTAGTGTTGTACAGGCTGTGTTTTGATAGTTTCGTGAGGTTCCTAATGAGGCTTGTATAAGTGGTTAGCGTAAAAAATATAGTGTTGCGAATTCATCAGCCACCTGATTGTCTTATCTTTTTGCCTATATCGCTGTCTATTATCGCGTTAGTAGATAGTCTTTACTCTTGTTTTTAGTGTTGAGATGCCCTTACAGCCTAACTCGAAGCTCCATCGCCTTGTTGAACGAGATAAACGCGACAATCTATCTGTCAACGCCTCTATTGCACCTGCTATCGACGAAGCTGAAGGCGACCACGACAATCATATTGACTCTTCTTTTGACAATCTTTTTGACGAGGCTTTTGTATATGACGGGCTGGACTGGGAGCGTGTGCCTCACCTTGAGAAGCGCCAGAAGGAGCACGCTAGAGGTGCTCCGTGAGGGGTAGTTATAGGCAATAGTATTTGCTCCACACTACAAGAGAATAGTGGGGGAAAGCTCTGTATTACTACACTAGGTGGAGAGGTCGTGAGAATAATTCTTGTCCCTCTCCTAACGCGCGGGGCGCGGGTTATGAGCAGGTTCAGCGGCCAAGGCGCGAGCGAGAGAAGCAAACATGTTGGGACCATAATCGTCCTCCTCGCTCCGCCTCTACCGTCCCGTGTTACATAGCCTCCTCCTCTAGGATGGCGTCCTCGACAGTCCCGGCCTCAATAAAAACCTAAACCCTGAGAGGGAAAATTAGGAAAAAGGGTCCAGGTACCGTACGCCTAGCGAGCGTTACGCTTGCGTCATAAGGGTGCGTTGCTATCGCAAAATGTGTTGCGCTCGTTTATTATTGACGCTACGTCATGTCGTGGTGAATGCCAATTTAGGTGAGTGAGAAACGCGACTCGCATTGTTGTGGTGAATGTGGAACGTTGTTTACTTTCCTGCTTGGGGTGACTGAATTTTCGCGGAGGTGAATGCGGATTGTTCATTAACCAAGTAAGTTACTTGCTTAACACTAGGGCCCTAAGCAAATATAGACCCTCTAGACTAGCTAGTTTAACTAGTTGCTTTAACGTAAGTAAATTATCTTAAGGTAATTAGTTAGTATTACGCGTTAGTGCTTAAGGTTCTAACTAATTTAGTCTAACTTACTGTAGTGCTCTAGCGCCCTTATGCTAAGCAAGTAACTTACTTAGTTAATAGACACACTGGATACAAAGTGTTCAAGTAGTGTGTGTTTCGTACAGTGACTTCGATAGGGCATGTGTCGTGGAATTCTCAATGACGAGCTCGATCTGGCGCAGCTTCAAAACAGAGACCGGCAGAGCTGGGCAGCGCCATAGCGAAGTTCGTTGGCCGTCACCAGCCACAACGCCCCTCCACGCAACATATCCACAAAAGCATCTACTCCGTACATACTTGGCCTTGCACCATTTCGTCGACGATCGTCGCTGCGAAGGATATAATCATTCACATTGCTGGATAACGGTCCCATGAAGGCACTGGCCACACATCGTAAGATCGAAAGTAGAGGTAATAAAGTGAGACGCGCGATTTAGGCCAATATAGTACAATTAAACTCGTGTTGTGACTATCGAATGGTCCCAGTCGTTAGGTGCTAATCGTTCAGGCGGGCACCTTCACAGATGGGTTTACCCCTCCATCGCGAGACATGATTTTATTGGACAGGATGAAACGCTAGTTTTAGTACCCCGCGCAACTGCGCATTAGGATTGCTGACAACGTCTACAGCAAGCCCTCAGTCTGCGGTAAGCTGATTTCCTCAACGTCGGCGTCCTTGTCATGGCATGCGCTAATGGTGAAGTAACGTCATAATGACCCTCAAATTCCAAACTTATGCCGATTGTGACACCTTGCGGGCATCAGGCGTCCTCCACGCGCCGCCGCGTGTCAGGATTGCGTCAAGTGTTCCCAGCGACGGATACTGCTGACAACTCTACTATTAAGCAATGCCTGATCCTACCACTAGTCGTGATCTCCGCTGACTCGACAGCATCATCGCCATCCTCGCTGGGCACCGAGTCGCCGCTCAGGCTCCACTTCGTAAAAGTCGATTCTGCTGCCCAGCTGTTCAAGGTACACCTTGTACTTATCAGCAGAATCAACAGCGTAGCGTTGGCGGTCCATAAGAGTGTTCTATTGTGACGCGAGCTCATTGATGTGCCGGTTGAGGAAGCGCGAGACCCAGCTCTCGAAGAGAGGGTGTCCAGCAATATCAGACGCGTAAATCTGTACCATTTCTCTTGTAGTGAAAGCTTTTGCTCTGTCAGCTTCTCTATATCCTCCACAAGCTCTGCCTTCTGTCCTGGTTGAAGATTTCGACGTGCAAGTCCTGCCTCTTCTCGTGAGCGCGTTTCCCCTGTGTTTACGCGTCAAAGTTAAGCGCACAACACCATGCTTGTCAGCTATTGTTTGCCACGGGATATCTTTATCAGAGGGTATTGCATCACACTTTGCAAGCGCAGCTTCCATACTGGTCATCTTGTTGTGCTGAGTTGGGATGAAAATGGGTGGTTGAACGCGTCTCGGCGCATTGACTGATTGCGCGCGTTGAGTGCACGGACACTGTATCACGATGCGCGGGAGGATGCACAAGGTTGGTGATTCGTTTGAATATCAGCTGAATCAAGCTTTTTACCTCACACTTTCAGCCCTCCCTGATATTCTCTTTGTAATGGAAACAGGTTCAGCTCGCTCTAGCTTTTGCATCGACTCACTCTGTCATACCACGGTAGCCTCCATTAGTTGAGTAGATTTAGTCTTTCAAATAACGGCAGAGAGCCCTGTGGGCTGACAAGCGAAGCGATATTAATAGGGATAAGAACAGTAAGCTTTCGACTAATTATTTGTGAACACTGTTTAAATATCAATATCTAACGTGGCAACTTCGCCTTAACTCTCAACATAATGTTTGACTTCATGACAACGACGGATCTAGCGAGATCTAACCTACCTAGCCTCTATAAGCTCAACAATGCTATAGAAAAGAACTTATATGTTGCCATGGAAGTGATGGCGAGGCAATGGCACCATTACGGAGAAACAAACAGGTATTCTAAGGACCAGTCAATTGAGCTAAGCGACGGGCCGCCGATAGAGAAACCATCTATCCTAAAACAGCTTCAATATCAGCGTCACCGATACAGTCCGCTTTATTACGATGAACCGGCAGCCAAATCGACTGTGAGCGGAGAGAAGCCTGTCAGATTATTGGAGCTCTTGCCGCCTGAAACCACGAATAGTGACTTAATCCGCTGCAAGCTACATCAGTATTCTCTGGACGAAGCGCCAGAGTACGAGGCTATATCGTACACGTGGGGTCTCGTAAATACGCAAGACTTCCCAGTCATCGTGGTCACAAACACTGAGACTCAGGACAGCACACTGAAGCCAGTGAAGGCGGAGACCGTTGAGATCACAAGACATTTATACGCGGCGCTGAGGAGACTACGCTATCTTACCCAGTCACGGTTTTTATGGGCAGACCAAATCTGCATCAATCAAGTTGACAAGGGGGAGAAGAGTAAGCAGGTACGGCAGATGGGTGATATCTACGAAAAGTCCAAGCGCACGGTCGTATGGCTGGGCGAAGAGGACGGAGACAGAGATGTAATCGCAGAGTTTTTTACATCCCTGAGAGGCTCGCCGAAAAACTCTGTGAAGGACGACATCACGCTGTTCGAGGGGCTCTTGGACCTCGAGGAGTCTACCTACACGCAACCGATTAGAATGCGTCACAAACAGTGGCGACGACAGGCCGTGACTCGACTTCTAAATCGAACCTGGTTCAGCAGAGTGTGGGTCTTCCAAGAAGCCGTCGTCTCCCCCGAGGTCAAAGTCGTATACGGAAGCCTAGAACTTCCACTCAAAGAGCTCCTTCGACTCACGCGTGCAGTCTTCGAAGTCGAAAATGCTGCCGGTGGATATGCGCGCTCCATATCCAAAAGGACAGTCGGATTCGACACTCTCTATTTGGTTCAACATAACCGAGTAGGTGGCTGCGGCGACCCGAACTGCCCACGAAACAGGGTTCCACGAAATTTTCTTGGCCTTGTGATGCAAGCCCTCCAACAACTACACGCCACGAAAGAACTGGACTTGATCTACGCGTTTGTCGGATTCGAGAGTCCGCAAGCCAACCCAAAGATTGAGGTCGACTACAAATTACCGGTCCGCACAGTCTGGATGAATGCAGCTAGCACTATCATCCAGAGCTCCCATTCACTTGACATCTTTGCGGCCGCGAGGGGCAACAAGGAGTGCAAGTATGACCTGCCATCATGGGTCCCTGACTTTTCGACATGCTATCCCTACGCGCGACCGATGACGGCGCCGGACTTCAACACGGCATTTGACGCTTCAGGGGGTCTGCCGCACACCTGGGAAGGCGCAGCGGATACGGAGACTCTTATTGTCAAGGGAAAGGTTGTTGGCACGATTATGTGGTTTTCCCCAGTGAGCTTTGACCGCAAGTACTTTCTCGAGGAGCCCCGAGGTACAAAGACTGTGCTGGACTATGAAAATCACGCCACAGAAATGAAGAGATATACCGACATTCAGGGGGTCGTGACACCCCAGAAAAGACAAGAGCTATTGGGATGCTACAACACATTGGTCCGTACTCTTCTTGCTGACGGAGCATTTGGCTACGACCAACCGCTTGGGTACAGCATAGACGAGATCATCCGGGTGTGCGAGAACGAAGATAAGATCCAAGCGACCATCGACAAAGCTGGGCAATGGTGCGATGATGGTGATTATAAGATCTTGGAGAAATTGCGAGAGTGGGGTCTTATTGTTCAGCAGAAACTGTTGTTTCTTTCTGATAAGCACGATATGGGTCTTGTGCCGAAGGCGGCGCGTGAGGGTGACTTGATATGTTTACTGCATGGGTCGAGAGTCCCTTGCATTTTGAGGCGGAGCGGCGTTGGCGAGGAGAGGTATCGGATTATCTCGCAATGCTATTTGGACGGGAAGATGTATTGTAACGGATTACCTGAGAGGGAATGGTTAGAAGAGGGCGCTAAGAAGTTTGTTCTAGTGTAATGCAGAAATCCAAGGATCGCAAGCAACGCGCACGTCGCTGGACTTATCATAGATTTATTTAGAGTAACATAGTTAGCAAGCGAGCGGCGCACCTGACCAACTTTGATCACCTCTCCCATCACAACGTACAATAGCTCAACGCAGCGCTACTCTATTAGCTCTAACCCTTTTGTAATATTATATTAATCTACTAATTATGCTATTATACTAACTCTTGTCTATTGCACTTACTTATTTTTAAGAACTAACTCTTAAGTTATTTAAAAATAACTTTTATATAGCGCTTTAATATTAAGTAAGTATAGCTAACGTAGTTCACAAGCGAGTGACGCACCTAAGCGAGTGACGCACTTTTGCTAAGACCTTACTAAAACCACGACTGCGCACGACAGTGCAGCACCGTATAGAACTGTAATTAGAAATCGTAATAGACTATTCTACTTAGAATCTACTACTATATCTTGCTTGCATGTGCGCGAGTTGTAACTAGCCTCGCCGCAGCGTCTACAGCGTCTTTGCGACAGTTCGCCTACCTTAACGCGCACCCTCTTCTTCGCCTTCTTCCTATCGCTGCGCGCCCTAAACTCCTTTAGAGTTGTAAGTCGAAGACCTTCCTCTACTGTAAGGGTTCCCTCCTTCTGTACTCGCTTTCTTTTATACTATTTACGTCGCGTAGCGGCCTTGTTAGCTGCTTTAAGCTTAGCGATACGCTTTTGCGACAACACTAAAGCATGCGCTATTATCTCTGCGCCTTTAGAGAGGCTTTTTACTGCCTTAACTATTAAAGTAGGTAAGCTGTCTACATGCCTCTAAAACCTCTCGAGAACTAGCTTTGTTTAAGACCCTAACTCTAGGGTATTGCTTAGGGTTTACGACTGCTAGAGACTATCCTTGACAGTAGGTAACAGTAGAGTACGCAGGCGGACGTTGAGCATCGATATAACAGCGTCTAGATTAAATAGAACTAAGCTAGCGCCTTAGAAGCTTCCTAGGATATTACTATTTGTAATTAAAACGTTTTAAGCGGCAATAAAGCACAGCAAGAACTCTGTTTTAGTAATATAGGTAATCTTGTTGCGCATTAGCTTCTTAGCTTAGCACCTATACGCCTTCTTTAGCGGCGCAAAACAGCTAACGTTAAGCGGCTGTAGCAAGTGCAAGGAGTGTAGAGGCATACAGAGGGTAATTATCTTCTTCTCCTCGCAGAGCTAGTAGAAATTAATTAAGCTGTAGCTCTCGTAACTGTTATGAACTAGCAGGCGGTAACTACTAATAACTCTCCTCTTTGTATGCCTGTTAAAGTGCTCTAACTACTTAATACTAAGCTTGTTTGTCGTCTAGCTGTTCTTAGAAACTGCAATTACCTAGTCTTAAAGCAGGTTTTCCTCTTTATACTAGGCGGAGAGGTAGTGCTTGCCTTAGAAGATAATAAAGGGTAAAATCGCCTACCTTGTCGCGTCTATGCCCTAGATAGCTGTGACCCACTCCTAGTTGCCCTGCTGCACTGTCTTTAGCCGTCCTCAACAGTCTGCTGCTGTAACTACTGCGCTAGTCGATATTACGCCTATTATAAAGCTAGTCTTATTAAAGTTGTACGTGTCTTCTTCCTAGATGCTGTACTTCGCCTTCGTATTCTGTACTAGGCGGAACTAGCCTTAAACAACCTTAGGATCTTCGCAGAGGGCTCTACTATAGTCGTACTTTTAATTAAACTTAGTTTTAAGCTTAGAACAACAATTTACAAAGTTTGCAGCCTAGTTCTTACTAACTAGCTTCTAATTGCGGATCTTAAGTAAAGAACTAGCTATCTCTTTAACATTAGCGAGCCTAGGCAGATATCCTTGCTCTACTAGC